TACGTAGAAGGGAAATAATAAAATAACAGGTCTGTCGGAAAGACAGTGTCTCATTCAGACGCTGTCTTTCCGACAGACCAGTTCTTCACCTGAGGACGGCTGCTTGTGTTGTGGCCGAAACGTGGTGAGAATTGTATTTTATTATGTTTTATTTTTATTATTTTATTATTTCCCTTCTACGTGACTTTAACGAAAGAACCAAGAAGATGAATCCCTGCAGTCACGAAAGCTTCAAATCGAAACTTGTTATAGTATTCTTCATATCACAAGACACAGTTTCCCTATATTTGAAAGCAAGATTTGGGGGTGCGTCTCATAATTAAAACGGAGGTTCGTGTATTCATAATCATAGCTTTGTTGACGATGTGTCAACTCCCTCGCCTGGTATACAGGAGGTCGTGGGTTCGATCCCAACCCTGACCGCCTGCGTGTTTGGAGTTTGCGTGCCTCTCTCCACGTGGTCGCAAGGATTTTTCTCTGGGTCCTCCGATTTTTTTTTCCTCCACATTTAGAATCAACATCACTCGTTTTAGAGTATTTGGCTGCTATACATTTCCACATAAGCCACTTCGCCGAGCTTTCATTCGTGGCCAGATCGCTTGTGGAAAAATAGTTAAACAGTTCAGTGGGCCTTACCTGGTAAAATAAATAACAGTTAAAAATAAAAAAATAGATTTTACCCTTTCTGGCAATACAACAGTTGTGTTAAGATGTTAAAACACCAAACAGAAACCTTTTGCAGGAAATCATGTCTGCATTAACCACCTATACTGGTGAACATGCAAATAAAATAAAAACATGCTCTGGTAGCATATGCTGCAGTCTTTGAAACGGATTGGTCCATACCAGAGACAGCTTTCTTTAGAGCCTCGTCTCAAACAGTGTTAGACCAGAGGACGCCAAAAGGCGATCACAGCACAAAAACATTGCACCATCAGCACATTGAGTTCAGTTTTCGTTTATGATGCTGCGTGTGTGCAGCATGGGCAGAGTTCCAGTCGGGGATGGTGCTGCTACGCAGTAGGGGATGGTGGTGCTGCTACGCAGTAGGGTCTCTCAGCCAGCAGCAGTCCTCTTATCCCCCCTCCCCCCGCATATGTGCAGATACTACTGCAATATTTTGCTCTTTTCTTGGATTTTGTTTGCAGTCACTTTAAGATGTTTTCTTGTTCATGTTTTTTGTTTGTTGCGGTTGCACCCGATTCAAGAGCCGAATGGCTCACAGGGCTATACCAAATAAATGAACTTGATGAGCAGATTGCTAAACGTGCTCTGTAAGATGTGACGGTCGCTATGGTTATTCTCTTATTATTGGCGAGCGGTGGAGGAGGTATGGCGGGATACCTTGAAGAAGAACTCGATGGCACAGGATGGTGATTTTGAACTCCATCCTTGATAATAATAATTACATTTTATTCCGCGTCATTCATGCAATTGCATCCCACAACGCCGCACATCAATTATCCAGTTCTGTACATAAGACAAAAATAAAACCCCACTACTTGGCAAAGATTTTTTATATAAATAACGAGAGAGAAATGCACATAACACGTTTTTAACTCTGAAGCCGCGTGTATTTGCAGTAAAGAAACCAAAGTGTTGTTCTGTTCTGAGCGGCGGTTTTTGAAAACTAAATTCTTTAGAACGGAGTTTTTTGTGTGTGTTTAGTTTGTCCTTCCCCCCCACCCCACACCTCCTATAAGCGCGGTTGGCTACGTACGGGTGCGAAATAAGTCCGACACACATACATACATACAAACATACATGAATTGCAGGACGGTGTGTAAGTAAAGCACAAAAGACCAAAACCAGCAAAAACACGAATTAACTTTATTGAAGTTCTGAAGTGTGGGAAGACAGTCCAATAAAAGTCAGACACCAGAGATGCACATAAGGCAGTGACACAGAAACCTGAGTCCCCAAAAAGGCACATGGACATCTGGACATTCGCATCATCATCACGTGGCAGCATTTGTATACATTTTTTTTACACATCCCCCACCATTTTTGTTCCAATTATGTAATTAACGAAGATGTTACGAGACAAAGTATATCCATTATGAACTCTTTTCCAGAGCAATGCATCACGCCCCGGGTTATACGGCAACGGCGCAACTGAAAATGTCAACAGTAGGCCCGAGATTCGTTCCAAGTGACCTCATCATCCACACGCCAGGGAGAGCAATTTCTGCACGGTAATCAACTCGCCGTCTTAATTATCATACCGAGATGGAAGCCTGCAAAAGCCTTCCAGTGGCTCTCCCGTGCAATGGTCTTCGTCAGTTAACCTTCAAACGCAAGACCGTCACATCTCGGTCAACAACGTGGACGTCGATAATTCGAGCTCCGCCTAAAATGATCAGCCCAGCCGAATATCGGATTCCAAAAAAACCGGCCACGGCTGCCGGGAACAACAAATCGTTTGCCTTCGCCGCCCTCATAACAAGGAAACTGGTTCCCACCGACGACGGAAATCTGGCACAGCCCAAGATCGACCTCTCCCCTCTCATGCTAGCTCAATCACACCGGTTTGTCGTCATGGCCTGCTGCCGAGGTTGGCCAACATCATCAGATGCCGTTCTCCCACAACACCCAACCGTACTTTCGTATGTAACGTATGGTAACTTTCCCACCGAATGTAGCCAAGCGTGCTAATCAGGATACATCAGAGGTCGCAAACGGGTTTTGATTCCTTACCCGTCCCGTACCCGGCCGCACCAGAGTCGCAAGCACCAGGGTCGCAAACGGGTACGGGTATCGGGTACCTGATTGCGACCTCTGGGATGAGGGTACGGGTATCGGGTATCTGATTGCGACCTCTGGGATGAAGCCATGTTGCAGGCGCGGGTGGGTTGATTCTAGGAACTTGAATTGTGAGAAGAGACAAGACGTTGGGAAATGAGTGACAAACGGTGACTCACCAGTGACTCACGGTCTACCCGTACCCGTACCCGGCCGCACCAGGGTCGCAAACGGGTACCCGTACCCGGCCGGGTACGGGTAGCCAGGTATCAGGTAGGGTACGGGTATCGGGTACCCGGTTGCGACCTCTGGGATACATCTCCCTTGTAAAGGCAGCCACCAGAGAATTATGAACGGCCTTCCACAATCAAGCCTGGGTACTAGCACCATCACCGTTGCAAAGTATAAGTGCACCGCCATGAGAACATCATCTTGCAAATTAATATATGCAGATGATAAGAGTTCTTGCTGCACAGGGCACACAAACCTCGAGGACATTGCAAATACTCAGCCGATCTGATATTATCGGAGGCATATATCCATCGCTGGAGACTGACCAACTCCTTCTAAAAACCGCAAGCGCTTTCCACCTGAACAATTTGTGCAACAGATGCCACTTCTTACGTGTCATGTGGTGGAGCAGTGTACTATGACCCCCAAATCTCCAGATGTCTGGGTGGGGGGGGGGTTAACATGGATAGAAGCCTGGCCTCCCAAGTCCCACATAAAAACCTGTGGGTATTTAAGAAATAACTTCTGCTCCGGAAACTTGCAGGAATGACCCGGAGCGCGCCTCAGCAGATGTGCTGCCAACGGGCACTCCATCGCCGATTTACCAGCTTGGCAGTGTGTATGCCCTCCGGCCTGGTCAGGGAACTCATACACAAAACTACCGGATGCAGAATTAAATAACGCAATGCGGCATCATCACCAGAAAACCACACCAAATCGCACGGCACCCTGAACGTTCTGCCAGCAAATATCCACTCTCTGTCCTGAAGCCCTCCGGTGGCGAGCAAGACTTCAACACTGGCATTCAACTCCCGAACATATTACCAATAGGCAATTTAGCGAGGCGAAGTAAAATAACAAAAAAAATATAATTTGATATCGGCTTTTTTTGTTCCTGTGCAGCCATAGGTGACTCAACTGAGACCACCAATTCAGCACACTTTTGAAAACCTGGTTTAAATCGCATGGTGGCTGCCCGGATTTGAACCCAGGATTTCTCAGCGTTGTTGGGCTCGGTGCTCCGACCCCCTGCCGCCCCCGAAGCCATCCACAGCCACCGACACGTTTCACTTGTTGAATGAAGCATATCTTATTTTGTGTATTTGCTTTTTTCGCTGAGCACAGAATTCTAAATTTGAACACGATACATTGCAAAGCTTGCAAACCACACGCCGATCTTTTTTCACGAATTAATTATCTTTACAACTGTGCAGTTAAACGTTGAATCGGCCACTACTTTACGGCTCCAAAGAGGCCAGGTGAATGAAATCAGTATTCGTGGTGAATTGCAATGTATTTTGTGGACAATTCATAAGCATGAAATGATAAAAACTAGCAAAAACAATACCTTCTTGATAAATGTATTGATGGGTTTGTATATTGAGACTTTTCCGTCTATAGTAGAATAAGTTTAAGTGATGCTGCGTTCACCATGACCCCCAGTAAAGCGAACAGTTCTTTCGCAATGGACACAACACCAGAGACTGACACACAAAGCCAGTGAGTCAAGTTTACAAAGTGGCTGCATCACGACATCCAAATCCATGTATGAAAAATAATGTTTTACCCTTTCTGGCAATAAAACACAGAATAGAAAACTTTCGCAAGGAATCAAGTCTGCATTAACCACACGTGCTTGTGGTGAACATGCAAGCATGGTGTAGGCCCAATCAGCTTCAAAGCCAATATTATCAGACGATGTTAGCTTGCATGTTCACCAAAAGTATTTAGTGTTTGCACATCTTACCACCTCCTGTTTTATTGCCAGAAAGGGTCAAACCTATTGCTATTTTCCATAATATGATAGTGGCAAAATAAGTCCCATGGTATCCCAATCTATGTCAACACGGACGAGGCAGCTTTCATGTGTGCCTTCGCTTTACAATAAGATGCCTTGTACTACCGCGTATGATTTCAAGGTCGTGCAGATGATAGCGAGGATGGCGACTGGTAAAGCGATGTTTTGAGATTGACGGCTGTTGGGGAGGGTACCTTTATATTTGCGATGTGTGCACGGCAGTCTGGGATTAGCCGGAGTCACTTGCCACCGCTTGTCATTTCGGTGCGTGACGGATGTCAAACGACGGGCCAAAACGAGGCAATCGTTTTGACGCGACGATGGAAGTTTGACGCAAGAGCGGTCACAGTTCCAGCTTGGCCAATCAATTTTCCCGTGTGAAAGTGTACGTGATTTTACACCCATTTTTTTTATACTACAAGGACATGACTCGACTTACACATCCCATTTACTTGTATATACTTTTAGTGTAAGGACACAAAAGGTTGATCCATGTCCCAAAATGTAGTCCTGTTTTACAATACCGTGAAACAACATCCTGCGCCCTGCTGTTCTGCCAATTGTCATAACCCAAGCGGCCCACCACCCCCTCATCCTGGATAGATGAAGAAGCCACGGATTGGTATCGTTTACAAATTGTGCGAATTCGCTCATTGTGACGCCACGGAGGTGAGATGTTAACTGCCTCGCTAGGTATGCAGGAGGTCGTGGGTTCAATCCCGACCCAGACGCCAGCTGTATATTTGGCATTTGCGTGTTCTCCCCGTGCCCGCGTGGACTTTTCTCCAGGTCCTCCGGTTTTCCCCTCCACATTTAGAATCAACGTCACGCGTTTAGAGTATTCGGCTGCTGTACATTTCCATGTGACGAGCCGCTTCGTTGAGCTGTCATTTGTGGCCAGGTCGCTTCTGACAAAAGAGCTACAGAGCTCAGTGAAACTTGCCTGGCAAAATAAAATAGTTTAGTTTGTAGTTTACATTCAGCATCACCACATGGTTAGACACGTGTTCCCAATTGTCCGATTAATCTGTAAAATCTGAAAATAAGAACCTCCCTAGATAAAACATTTGAGTTAATTTTGGGGGGGGGATGGTAGTCTGGTTCATCCGAGCGTATGACAACGCAAACGTGAGACTTCACTATTTCAGCTTTTCCCCACCAAACAGTGATGTCGAGTTGCATCAGGTCACGTCACAATGTTTCCGATGGTTATTTAAAATCGTTACGCATTGCAAATGATACTAACATCTGCAAAACTCTGCACAGATGTGACATTGTAAAATAAAAAAATATCACGCATTTTGAAATTACGAGGACTCTTCGGTAGCACATGCTAAATTGTAAAAAATGAAAACGACCCCAAGTAACAATGTAGCCTCGATAATATTTCACTTAACGTTAAGCAATTGCTCAAAGTGAACTGGGAAGTGATGTTTAAAAAATAAAATTATCACGTATGTCCCGCTAATCGAAATAGCTCGATTTCATAAGCGACCAGGCTATCACAAATGGCTCTACAAAGTGGCTTGTCGTGTGGAAATTGATAGTAGCCAAAGTCTCTAAAACACGTGATGTTGATTCTAAATGTGGAGGGGAAAAGCCGGAGGACTCGGGGGAAAACCCACGCGACCACGGGGAGAGACACGCAGACTCCAAATATACAGCAGCGGGCGTCAGGGTCGGGATAGAATCCACGAGCTCCTTTATACCAGGCGAGGTAATTAACATCTCACCACCACGGCGATACGTTTCGTACGGATGGTGCACACCTTCACATTTAAAGCAGAAGGGACAACATTTGGTTGTAAAAAAGCTTACTTTGTGACGCGCTACAGAACCACACAGGGTCGCATTTGAAATGTAAACTTCAACAACAAAGTGGGGAGTCTGAGAAGCAGAGTTCCAAAGAAACACACTTACACATCACAGCATTCTTAATTCACAAAAGGAGTAAATTCACAGGTTTTATGTAGTTAACGTTTGTGCATGCTTGCGATACTCGCAAATAAACAAGCAGGGTATGTTGGTAACACCACTTTATAACGGTGTTTGGCTCAACGCAGCTCATCTGGTTAAGGGGTCCTCGCTCCACCCCCCACTACCGAGTTACACAACCGTTGTGTTGAATTGCCAAAGGTGTAATGTGGCGAATAGTTTATTTAACCGACAGTTTATTCAACGAGATCTGTTTAAGAAGTGGCATGCAACTGAGGCCAAAGTACCGCTCAATTTTGCAGCGGCCGCCAGCCGTAAAGGTTTGACGTCTCTAAACTTCCAAACTGTTTTTCATAATTCGAACAAGACGAGAACGAATGTTGTCAGAAATGCGGATGTGGCATTTCAGACTACGGCTCATGAAAAGAGACCAACGTTAATGCAAAGACAAGAACTGTTGTGTAAACGAATGTACAGAGCTGCAGCCACTGCACTGATACTTTATTTTATACAAGTTGCAAGATAAACAGACCCGGATCGAAAATGACTTCTTCAAGAAAGTATACTTATGAACGTTGGCAACTCTGTTTTCGATCTCTAACCACTCCTGTCCCGATGCAAATTATAAAAAATCTTTACAAACGTGACCCACGAGGGCCCATGAAAGGTGATATTTCTGCATCGACATCTGGATTCTGGTGAATTTCCAAAACAGTTTTAGAAGTATCCCACCCGCACCTCCGATTCCAACGGTTCGATACACACACGGTGACAAAGAAGTTCAACATACGTACAGCATCACACCTGTTGGCAAAATGATAATTAACCTGGTCCTCTCAATTTCTGCTAGAATATAACAGTCGGTAAATTGCCTGGCCTCTAAATTAGGTGAACCCAGTATGTGGAAAACTCCATGGACTAAAACTTGCTATGACGACTTAGCCGTCATATAATATGGACCTGCAAGCTTTTTGATTTTAATCGCTTTTGAGTGTGATATCGGTTCAAATGTGCGCACTACATTTGCAGCTTTGACAACAATCACTTGGTGAAATTTCAATGACACTGATGTGTGTGCTGTGATAGTTCACTGAGCCCGCTCCACCCGAGTCCATTCAAACACAGGTTTGAACACGGATGAACCAAGAAATTCACCAGGGGTTGCAGAGACAAGGGACCTGTGCTTTGCTTTGAAAAAAAACTCTGCAGGCTCATGTGGATTAATCAGGATGGATTAAACAAAGTCTGACAAAGAAATGTAATAAATAAGCTCGACCAAAGCAAGCTTTGGGTGCTTAACACAAACGTATCTTAGTAAAAAAACAACACACGCACGCGCGCGCGCACACACACACAGTAAAGTAAAAATAATCACCGCAATGAACCGCAAACAAAAAACATCATCACATAAAATGTCACAGTAAAAAAAATGTACAGAAAGTATAAAGGCATGGATAAAGTGTGGTACTAAATAATTGTACATTTCACCATTTTGCTACATTCCACTTGGCTCTGTTGTGGCACGACCAATGGAGTTGACCTCGTCACTGCCAGGGGAGTGGCTGTTGTTGCCATCCGAGACGACAAACACATCCGTTCAACTCGCAAAATAAGCAACAGGCATCCCCCCCCCCCCCCCCCACTGCACCGTATCAGTGGCAAACGTACGGTGCTTCGGTCTTCTTGCGATTCACCACTCGCACTTGAACGTTGAATCGCCGGTCAAATCAGCCACCATAAAAAAGACTTCCCGGTGCAAGCCACCTCTCTCGCTGGAAAGGCAACCAATTAACAACACCCTTGCCTGCTCTATCAGCTTTAGATTCCCTACTCTTTCCATTGTGAATATAAAAATAAAAAACGAAACTCACGTAATACAAACGCCCAACTTATAGATAGGCCAAGCAACCCAAGCAAATGTCACCACATTTCAAATGTCAACATTTCTGACCCAATATCGAACGTCCCTTATTATAACAGCTCTCTTTAAGGCATCTCACACCGAATACATTCCACCCAATTAAAGTACAGTCTACACATCCACTGGCAGGTGAAGCTTTGCTATAATTAATTCACGAAACAAAGAGATGAACATAATCATAATAAAATAGTCATATATATATGGGTCTTCCTCAGTCACGGTCCTTTGTTTTTAGAGGCAAGCAGCATATTGTCGGTTGAGATATTATTGACACTATCAAATGGGGCGTACTATCCCAACGTACAATTTAAATGGAATACAACAGCCCACGTAATAATCGCATTTGTCGACGTGTACAAAGACGGCAGTCCGAAGGCTTACTCTCTGCACGTTCCGTGGCCCTGTGGGATTCATGCTAAAAGTAATGAGCACGAAGAGTCCTGTGGATGGTGAAAATTATGTCAAAAATAAAAAGGCATGCCCTATGCATAGCTGTGGAAAAGCCAGTCTAATTAGAATAGTGATTTGCGTTTCCTCTTTCAAAACATCAGGTGAGCATGGAAGAGTAAGCCATATACCCATCATGTAGATTTGTTCTTTAGTCGCCTGCAGCGGAGGGCCCTTTTCGCCAGCAGCGTCATGAGCAAGCAAGTAATGAACGGGGCCTGTGCCTGTTGACTCGCTCTCAAACATTGATCTTGCCGAGTCACAAAACAAGGTGTCCGACAGAGGCAGAACCGCCCCCCCCCCCCCCCCCAACAATCAAACCGCTGGGCCAGTAGGAGGTCCCGGGGGAAAATAAGTGATCTCAAAACTTAGGACTGAGCAACTACAAGACATCTGAACAACACTTCTAACCACGCTCAACTCGGTTAACCTTTTTGTTGTATTAACGCAATAATCTCACAGATGCCCTGTACTTACCCCCCCCCCCCATATCCCTGCTGTGAAATATTTCTGCCGCTTATTTTTTTGCAACCGATGTCGACAAAATGTACAAACAAAAATATTCAACGACCAAAATACAGAGACCTCTAAGAACACAATTTCCCATAGTAAGCAGTAAATTAAGCATACTTTTTGTTGCCGTAATAAAATGTACATCAGTTTCCATGGTCTATTCAATGCCATGAATAGTCCCATCCACAATAAGGGCACACAATGTTAAATCTCATCACAATGATGCGAAAACATTTCCAATTCCCGGTTCCTACTTTTAATGTGGTTCCAAATTTAAGCCTGCAATGTTTATAGCAAGGTTACATCACACCAACATGACAAAAATTAAGAAAACATCGGGACTGACCGTTTCCTTCTGTTTCAATTTGGCACGTGAAAGTCGAGCTCAAACATCTGGCCACACTGTTCACTCATAGGTGACTTTACAGTTTATTTGATCTACGATTCTTGGAGACCAACAAAATCCAGTCTCTAAGAACTGTCTGAAAATCCGTACCCTGTAAAGAAAACCTTTGGAACTGGCAATTCCATGCCATGTTTTAAGGCCTCTGCAACAAGTGAAACCTCTTTTCATTCTGAAAAATGGGACTTAGAAATCATAACATAATGTGTGGACCGAGACCGTTTAGGGCAGTAGGAAGGGCAGTAGTCTTGGTAAAGGCACTTCGATCAAAAACATTTTGGCAGGACTGAGAATCTGTTCCGAGTCTCTCAATGTCACCGTTTTATTTCGCTCAGTCCATCCTGTCTCACGCTTTGAAGAGGAGAGAAGGGTGGGAAGAGCGTACGCACGTGGAAATCAGGATCGAGGTGCGCCTTGGGAAAACCTTCAAACGGCCGACGGCACTGAGCGTCAGATTCCCAGGATCGGCACGTCAAAGAGGTCACAAACGCCCTCAGTCTCGTCCAGGTTGAAGTAGTAGTCGTGGTCCGCAGGAGGGGGAGACAATCGGAGCAGTGGCGTGAACACTGCGCGCGGTAGAGTGACCAAAGGGGAGCGGGGGCACGCACGCACACGGGGTGTTAGAGTTTACATCAGAGGTCACAAACGGGTTTTGATTCCTTACCCGTACCCGGCCGCACCAGGGTCGCAAATGGGTACCCGTACCCGGCCGGGTACGGGTAGCCGTTCCCTACCCGGACCCTACCCGAAATGAGTGACAAACGGTGACTCACCAGTGACTCACGGCCTACCCGTACCCGGCCGCACCAGGGTCGCAAACGGCTACCCGTACCCGGCCGGGTACGGGTAGCCGGGTATCGGGTAGGGTACGGGTATCGGGTACCCGGTTGCGACCTCTGGTTTACATGTGAACACCGGGGCACGTGTGTGCGAGTGTGGGGAGTGGTAGTGTAGCGGTTAGGGCGCTGTGCTACGAACCCGGCCGCCCGAGTTCGATTCCTGCTCACGGTCAACACCAGTGACGATTATCTGAACCGTTAATGTTGTAAACAAAGGCGGCCGGGCGTCGTGCTGGCCACCCATCCCCGCATGTGCCGTGCCAGCATTCATAGGTGCTCGCTAACAACACTTGCCCCAACAGACTGTTAAGGCTACACGGGGGATCTTTGTTGTTTGTGTGTGCGTGTAAAGCACGGCAAGTTTAGTGGGGTAGCACAAACTCCACTTATCCTCGCAGCAGCGGCTTTTGGCCAACCATCAAACAAAGACGGGGCCACAGCAGTGTGGCAGTGTGCTGTCAGATGCGCTTCTGTGGCCGTCTGAAGTGCTCTTTCCTTCCGATATTAGGAAGCCACTGGAGCTGTGAACTTTTAAAATCTAGATTGAAAACTCATTTCTTTAGAACTGATTTTTGTGTTTAAATTTGTTGTCCTTCCCCCGCAGCACCTCTGATTAGCACGGTTGGCTACGTACGGTGCAAAAGAAGTTCAAAATACATACATTGTGCTTGCTGGCTGTATGGTGGGGTACCGCGCACAGATTGTTATGCGTCATCACCCAGGCAAAGATTTACACCGTGAGAGTCACGGAATAAGTAAAAGTAGTAAAAAAATATATATATCTAGAAAGGGCATGCAATTTTATGCCTGGTTATATAACGAGACAATTTCATAAATGTCCTTGCTCAGAAAATGTCCTTTAGTCTCGAGATAAATAGTCACTTACAACGTGAAGAATATCTATTAATCGAAATGCAGCATCACTTATTTACCCGTACACTTGTAAAGAGGATCTTAATTTGGGATATATTAAATGTGAAAAGGAAACTGGGCATAATTCAGAGAAACTACACGAGCAATGGCGCAACACTAAAATACATCTGCAGAGATTAATGGTAGACAAACCCATTTTGCTGCACTGCCATCTGCTGTCCACCACGTCAACCTACACAGGCTAGGTGATATCTTTGCAAGACTCACTAAGGCCACCTCTCGCAAAGGATGGATCACAGGTGTGGGCCGCCAACCATCCGCACTAGGAAAACGATTCTAGTTTAAGTCGTTCATGACCCATGTACGCCCATCGACAAAACTCAAATGCCGTGTTAACACTCGGTCACTTTTCACAGTCGTTTTCTCAATTACGCTCGAGGCAAGGAGAGAATCCTTGCAGTGTTTGCATTCGTGTGATTCCTGAATGGCAAAGGGGTGGAGTGATGACGACAAACTCACCGTCCGAATACATGAGCTCATCAATGAAATCTCCCGCTGTAAAAAAAAGCAACAATGGCAGAATTACTTTGGATCAACGTACAAACATAAGTTACGGGTACAACAAGGTCTGCCACCAATACACGTTCGGACTATTGAAGTTGGAACTTTCGAAGAAAAGCTAAGTAACACATTCCTGCGGAGGGAGCTGGTAGGAACGTTGGGTTGCTCGGTCAATGGCCAGGGTCAACGGCGGCGTGGTGTATTCCCGCAAATATGGCCGACTGAGGGCGGGCACAAGCCGGCGTGAGTAGGTTAAACGTTGAGTTTTATAAGGGCACCACGGGGTGACCAGCCCCTCCCCTCCCCACCCAGCCCCACCACCCACCCAACCCCACCCTGCCCCTCCCCACCCAGCCCCTCCTCACCCTCCCCTTCCTACCCAGCCTCACCCTCCCCACCCAGCCCCTCCCAACCCAGCCCCTCCTTCCCCACCCAGCCCCTCCCTGCACGACGGACACAATAATCCCCTGTGGGCTGGTGTAACCAGGAGGTTCCTACCAGTATTATTTATAGTTTTACAGATCACACATACCACTCAGCAATGCTGTGCAACAACTGATGGAAGCAACGATGTTTAATGTGCACGCAAGTGAAAAGGATTGAAGAGTATACCTTTTGACGGCTCGAATATATCTTTAGGCAGCTGCAGACCTGAAAGTTAAAATGAAAGCCATTAATAGGTATCCTTCATGCACTACGGACTTTGCGTGCTTATAACATAAATCCATAATCCTCCGAAAAGATTGCACCTTGTAACATTTTTTGATTATTCTGATATCGAATCTACTCGTGATTAGACTTCCAGATGATAAATCACATGTTATATTAATTTTGAATCAAATCACGTGGATATCTGTTTTGTATCCGCACAATTTTAGTGCTGAAATAATTGCAAATAAATATTACAACAGTATACATGTAAGAATTTACTTTAAAACTGCATTTAAATCGTTAATATTTAACATGTGCGCGCATGTATAACTTGGTTTTGTATCTCATAATAGTCGATCTCAAACCACGTGAAACAAAATCATCAACTGGCCGAGCGTTAGATGTCATTTAATCTCAATTCAAGAAAAAGTAAAAAAAAATCGGTACACTATTTACCCATTTCGAAAAATACTGGCACGTTCACACAGTCCCATTGTGCAGCTCCGCACAGTCATTGAAGTATGACAACGGCAAGAGTTGGCCACAGACAATGGCTCAGAGAGACCTCGAAATGGCCACAATTAGAATTATATTTTCTAGAACATTTCATTTAATGCAGATAAAAATATCGTAAAACCCAATAAGTACTGTTCAACACGGAGGCTTTCACGACCACTATTATCCAGAGCTTTTTTTGGGTGAGATCGTGTAAATATAAATGTGTCGTTAAAACCACCACCGCCCGACACAGCCGAATAGTAAGGTTGTCACGTAAAAAATTAATTGGCGTGTACTGTTTATGTGACTAACCATATTAATTGGCTGTGCCGGGTGGTGGCGGGTTTAACGAAACATTTAAATTTACACGATCTAACCCAAAAAAAAAACTATTATGCCCAATAAGTATTCTTGCTTAATTTCGGAGAACCTACACGAAAGATCCGTCCCCGTGTGTTTCCACAGCCAAGGGTCGCCTTTTACTCATTCACACTGTCCATATGTACGACACAAACGTTGAATTCTGCCTTTTTTACATTATTTTTCTTTAAAAGCCCTCTTTTGAAAAGGCGCACAACAACAGAAATGCTGGCCCGTCGCTCGTCCACGGTGGCACGAAAACGTGAAAAAGAAGTGCCAACTTATGAAATGGAGAATGTGCTGCCAACGTGCATCATTGTGCACTACCAACACTGGAGCCACTCATACCGTGCCAAGGGCATACAATGGCACCCCCCCCCCCCCCCCCCCGATTGGCGACGGGTTGTTTTAGAGATGCAAAACCTTTATTCCCCGTCGAGGTCCATCATGCGTTCTAAAAAGAGTTACCCCCGTGTAGCTGGCGTGCACGCCTAAACCTCCATCCATCTCTGTTGCCTAACACTGTCTGCCCGTTGTGTTCTCTTGAACACCACCCTCTGTGTACACGGGTCACTAACGGTGGAGTTCGTTTATATAAAACGCATTGTTGAATAACACAACGTGTGCGCGAAGATGCATGGGGAAAACGTGCATTTTGCATCGGAAATCAAAACTAACGTCTTTATTTTACGTGCTCGTTGAAGCTGCAACTCGAATATCAGAAGGTAATGAAAATGACAAAGAGTTAAAGGATACATTATATTTGAAGTTATATAACTTGGATGGAGTTTATAAAAACCTGGGCCGTATCAGGTGATGTTTCAGTTGTCTAATGTCGCACCTCTGATTAGCGCAATTGGCTACGTACGGTGCGCGAAAGACGTTCAACATGCATCCATGAACGATAATGTAAATTACGTAAATTGACGCATGTTTGAATTTTTAAGTTCACTCACACCTATGCTGTCTTCAGGTCAAAGCAACAAAAATGTGCCAAACTCGTGTTCAAATATATGCATGAAACAGAACTGTCCGCATTCCAACTGCGTCCACACCACCGAATTAAGTCGATGATTAAATAATCCGCAACAAAGCCTCATCAGAAGCTAACAATGTCTGCGCTTGCAAAGTGATTGGATGGGTGACCACAACACACAAATGGATTGTCATATGGCTTACGGGGCTAAGTGGTCGGGATACAATCGGGTCGTGTGGCAAAGTCCATTGCTGTACTCTGATCCTCGGCTCCCACGTTCACGTGTGAAAGTGTGGCCATATGACCACCACAAAACACAAAGGCCTGGGGAGAGGCCCTCATCTCAAACAGCGGATTGTACCCAACGACACCGACGACGAACATGCTGCACAACTCGAGTCCTTTCAGGCAGCGACGGCAGCCCCAGTGCGTGCGGCGAGACGGGGGGCGGGGAGGAAAACGTGGATGAGCTTTTTTGGAAAATCCTCTCGTGACGGAAACGTGACGGCCCTCACCTTCCACCGTCTGCGCCTTGATGGGCTCCAGCGCCAGGTGCAGGGGTTGCGGCTTGCCTTGCGCTTCTCCAGAGAGGGCATGACTCTCCGGACTCTGGGTGCACATTGCCTGCCCCCTCATCGGCGACGGGGGGTCGCTCAGCGTCAGGCTCCCTGCTGCAGCAACAACAAAAACGCACAACACACACAACGCGCACGCTTCAATGCAAACGTCTCGTATGTCATAATCGGTGGCGTGGTAACAACATCGGCTCGGGGCGTGTGCGGAAATCGGTTAGGTGGGGCCCAATATTTTATTTGTCTCGATATACAACAGGGTGCTTAAAAATTAGTAACAACTGCCTGATTACTAATCTAGTATATAATTACAATAATCCCCCCCCACGCCACCTCAAATCGTTGCACCTGATGAGTTAATGATGACATCACCCTGCTGCTGTTTTATATAAGAACGGGAGCCAGAGCAGAGCCTCACCATTCTGGCGAATTGCCCGATGATGCTGGATGCAATTACCAGCGAAATGTCGTACTAAAAAATTGAAAATGTTGTGGTTTCACGCTTCAACACACCGGTGGGCTAAAGCAGTGAACTATTTGTCTTTTATCAACATGACACTTTTTTACTGATTGGCCGTGTCGGGTGGTGGAGGGTTACGACACATCTATAAATAACGCGATCTAAACCCAAAAACGTTGATTATGAATAATATTGGTCGCGAAAGCCTACGTGTTAAACTGCTTAAAAATGTTTTTAACACTTCTGAGAATTTGCAACACCACGTTAAATGTGCCTCCGGGCTCTGGAGACCACCTGGAGAAGATTCGAGGCACGTGTTGACGATGATGGCGAATAAGTGGAGACTCTCTTACCTTTTGAAGCGATTAACATACACTTATTATCATGTTACATACTTCCATTAAAAACGATAGTCCCATATAAGTGTTAACATTTTCTTGAAGCACTCTGTATAATAACCTAGAGGCTATTGTATATCGTGGCCTCTTCTTGCCTAATCAGATGATCGTTAAGCTCAAGGCCTTGAACGTTATACAATAAACTACTATACAGGACACATTGGGCTCTATGGAGGGCCCGTTTTAAAGTGGTTAGTCGTTAAGAGGGGTGGTCGTTAAGAGGGGTTGTATTGTACGTTTTATTGAGGATGTCAGGCAGAGTGTTCACAACTTACGGTCGTACTCAAGTGTGTGAGAACGCGCTCCGCGTGTATATAAAAAAGTGATCACTTGAATGGAGGGTGAAAGTGTCATCCCGCATAATAATTAAAATGTATAATGGCCATTCAAATCTAGTATTCCAATGCGCAATGCATGAAAAGCAGGAAACAAAAACAGGACCAGGGGCAGGCAACCGACCGATACTCAAGAGGGAAGGCCACTTTTAAAGAGGTGGATTTTGAAAGCAGACTCAAATATATCAACCAACTCAGATTTCCCGATGTCAATTGACAAGGCGTTCCATACGCTCGTTTCCTCGAAATATCACTTATGTAAGAATAGTGTTTGTGCCAAGATGGAACCCTGCTCATGAACTACAGTATGTGGAGGACAAACGCACGTCGGAAAGCGTCCCGAAAAATCCATCCGCACACGCGCATGCTTTTTCTTCCTTGCGTTTGTTTGTCGTGCACGTATGTACGTATGTAATGTTGCGTAGCCGACCGTGCTAATCGGAGGTGCGGCGGTGGGGGGACAATTAGTCCTCCTGCGAGGCCGACACGCAGCAGTCGTCCCTGGCCGCAAGATCCTCAGCGTGTGCCTCGTCGCCCGGACGCCCCAAGAGCGAGAGAGCCGCCCCCCACACACACAAAATCCACGCGAGGCCGCACGACCGACGAGGCCGCACGATCGGCGAGCCCGCACGTCCGCTCACCGAGAAGTCCGTCTGTCGGCATGGGAGGGTTGGGCCGCTGAGGGAGGGGCGGGAGGTGCCGCGTGGGTTGCACCATGTCGTCCGGGGGAGGCACGGGAACCACCACCGGGCTGCACGACGACTCCTTGTTGACCAGCAGAACGTTGATCGGTCCAGACTGGCTCTTCAGGTGGATCTGGTACTTTCTGTTGCCATTAGAGCTCTGCAACAACAAAGGGCACGGACACGAAACGAGAGACGAGCATCCCAAAGAGTTTCACCTCCAATGCAATCTCATCGGTTATCTTGGGTGCGATGTGAGGGAGGGGGTGGAAATAGTGGTGCAGTTGTTGTATGTTGAACCGTACGTAGCCAACCGTGCCCATCGGAGGTGTGGGGGGAAGAACAAACTAAACACAAAAAGCAGTTCTAAAGAAATGAGTTTTCAATCTACATTTAAAAAGTACGAAGCTCCAGTGGCTTCCGAACATCGGAAGAGCATTCCAGACGGCTGCAGAAGCGCATCTGAAAGCGCGCGATGGGGTGACCCCTCTCTGTTTGGTGGCCAGCCAAAAGCCGCCGCTGCGAGGATGACCGGATTTCACGTGATGGTGGTTTATGCCCCTTGACGAGGTCAGCACGGTGTTGTGGTTCACTTGTGCAAAGCACTTTGCTGTGTAATGAGTGCGACCTTCTTATGTACTCGTTCGGCAAACTGAAGCCCCAGTGCCGCTCGGCGAACACAAGAGGGACACGGTCGGATCTCGCTGTTGGCACGCTGCACTCACACACTTCACGTGTCCGCTGCCGACCTCTGAACCCAGAGTTGACCGTGGGATGGGCTGCACATTCAAGTTTGTCACTGGGACTTTACGTGAGAAAATCCTAAAATTTTCCATCGCTTCAAAACGTGTATAGTACCCTCGAGGTGGATTGCAACTTACAACTTGCTGAAAGATTTAAATTCAGTTTTATATTAACGACCTCGTTAAACCCATAGAAATGTATTCTTTTACAATGAGAAGACAGCCAGTAATGAAGCCATACACAGGAGTCAAAGATTGTGACACAGTGCCACCTAGGGGCACCACTAACTAAAACAATGGACACTGGCGATGGTACTAAAGACGCTACGTGAAATGCCTTTTGTGATGCAATATATTTGTAAAGTATTTGTGTGTACAACACAAACATGTAGTTACACGAACACGTAAAAAAACTGTACGTGCAAACATGTCTAGATGATTGCATGCCAGCTTAAAGCATAAATGTATTATAGTTTGTCTAAAGCAGATTGCAGACAGGGAAAATGTGAATATTCATGAATGTGTTGAGTTAACTTTAACTGAATTAAAACTGTAAAATGCAATGCTACCTTATTACCAGGAAATTACCCAATTAGGTTTGCGAACAATTTTGAAATTGTAACCGTGCCAGCGACACACACGGCCTACTTGATTATAATTATTTCTCAGGATCTTTCAAGATCCACTGGAAATAAGCACGATGGCGAGTATTTGTTGGTAAAATACACCCGAAGCATTAACCCTTTCCTGTGCCGAGACGTCTGCAAGTTGCAGGGTGGGTGTCCCGTTCACCGCTGAATCTCGGAACGCGCAAGCGGGTTAGCGTTAATTTTCTTGAGGCATAGTAGCGCCGCTGTTTTTAAAAGACATTGTACTCGCACCGTAGAGAACCGTAGCGACACGACCGCCACACTCTATATGGTAGCCGGCACCAAACTGTTCCACACCGCCCTCCCGCGTGGCCTTGTGAGAGCCTCGGTACCGATGAAGTTATTTTCGTTTTTCTTCCGATTCCGTACAAGTACGTCATCGTCTACGCCTCTATACAAGGAACGAAACAGGTGGACTTCTCCACAAATCTGGCTGTCGCCTGATGAAGCTGGTTGTAATTACTGGCGAAACGTTGTACTCAAAGATTGTAAATGTTGTGGCTTGGCTCTCCAACACACCGGCGTGCTGTACTAGTGACAAATTGGCCACATTCTGTTTACGTGACAACCCTTACTAGTTGGCTGTGTCGGGTGATGGTGGGTTTTAACGACACATTTAAATATTTATACGCGATCTAACCCAAAAAAAACCTCTATTATGGATGATGTATGTGTACGTCATCGGAACGGAATCGCAAGAAAAACTGACCATGTGAACGAACGTACGCGTACGTCATCGGAACGGGGTAGGGTTAACCAGGGCGGCCGCTGGGTACAAACTGAGAACTTCTGCAACATCAACGCGCTATCGCCCCGACCATGGCATCGCCTCCGACGTCAGCGCCCAGACCGAGTTTGTTTTGTCAGACAGTGGAGAACGCTTTTCCTTACCGACTCGGGGACCGGAACTTCCAGGTGGGTCCCAGCAGGAGCTTTGATCACCAGCAGCGTGTCACCTAAACGAAGAACAACACGTTTCTCATGGCGTTCGAGTCACAGTCAATCACACCTGAGATGCACCCCACGTCGGGAGCTCACAAGTGACGCCATCACCATCTATCCCTCTATTTAAGGAACAAAACAGGAGGCTTTCTCCGCAAATCTGGCTGTCGCCAGACGATGCTCGTTGTAATTACTGGCGAAACGTCGTACTCAAGATTGTGAATGTTGTGTACTCTCCAACGCGCCGTTGTGCTGTACTGGTAACGAATTAGCATGTTCGGTTTGCGTGACAAACCTTACGAACTGGTTGTGTCGGGTGGTGGCGGGTTTAACGACACATTTACACGATCTGACCCAAAAAAAACTGTATTATGGATATTGGTCGCGAAAATCCACGTGATTAAAATGCACCTTATTATTTGCAAGCATCGCAAATACATGGCGATCTATTTCTAGGTAATGCTAGGTAGGACTTGCTGACGCGCCCTGACTTGAAACCTGTGAAATAGAGCTTCATAGTTTATCGGATTCCTACGGTCTTAATAAAGATTCAGATTCCGATAGTAGAGAGAAAACAACATTATTTCACGGCCTCTACATGTCTCCATCTAATCTAAATAAACTGATTCAAATAAACGCGCTCTCTCCTTTGTAAGACTCGGAGCCATTGCTTTAACACAGGGTCAATGACCTCTTGAAAATAAAACAAGAGGGGAAATCTTGATTTGAAGCTTTCGTGACTGCAGGAATTTATACTCTTTGGTTCTTTCTGTAAAGTCACGTGGGTATAGAATAAAACCGTCTGCCTCAGCAGCAGGCCATGCTTTCCCACCTGATGACGGACGCTTGTGTTGCGCCCGAAACGTCGCGATATATTTTATTGTATACCTACGTGACTTTACCGAAAGAACCAAACAGTAAGAGGGGAAATGAGAAATCAGTGGGATATTTATAACTGCAACAGTGTAAATTTGGAATTGGATGTGAATTTTTTTAGCAATTTCCGTCAAGAACGGCAGGTACTATCGATTCAAGGCGCTCGTGTTATTTTCTCCATGGCAACAACTAAAAATATTTTACACAACAGCGCATCAACTCTGAGCTGTCATCCCCCTATCAGTGAATGCCATTATCCACTGTGGCATGTTATCTGTTGGATCACCAAGAAGTGGCCGATAAAAGTATTTAAAAAATCTATCCAAGCCATTCCAACAGTCAATTAACTGTAAGTTTTTTTTTTGGGTTAGATCGCGTAAATGTGTCGGTAAACCCGCCACCACCCGACACAGCTAATTAGTAAGGTTTGTCACGTAAATAAAACATGCCAATTTGTTACTAGTACAGCACACGTGTGCTGGAGAGTAAACAGAGAAAATTTACCATTCGAGTAGGTATCGCCAGTAATTACAAGAACAATCAGCAGGCAATAGCCAGTAAATTTAATGAATAATATACCAACCCTGAACCCTTAACACGGAGCAATTTCCACATTAAACTGAAATTAAGCTGTTAAAGCATTGCTAAAATACGTTTCAAAGTAAACCAGCGGTGGAATAAATCAGCAGTAGCCACCACGGCAGGAGAGGAAGCCCAGGCACATGTGGCTGTAATGTTCTTGTGATAATGCTGTTCTAGATTTGAAGTTTTCGTGACTGCAAGGATTCATACTCTTTGTTTTTGTTTTGTCATGTAGGTAGAAAATTCAAAATAAATTAAATCAAAGCGTTTCGGAAGCAACACAAGCCTCCGTCATCAGGAACGCTACAGCAATTTTACTGGAGCGGTTACACCTGATGACGGAGGCTTGTGTTGCTTCCGAAACTGTCGTGATTTAATTAATTTTCTACCTACGTGTCAAAGGCACCTTATAAGTGCAAATAATGATTATTAATGATGCCATGATGCATCATTATTAATCATAGTGGAGGGCGAAGCATGATGCTTCAGATAATTAATGTTCGTAGTTTTGAAAATTAGGTTTACGCCATCCATACGATGGGCTGGGACAGATATTTTGTTTGCAATTCTTTTATAACACCGGTTGCGAAAGATCCCATAACGTAAGGGGAGAGTCCTTGCCTGGACGGGCAGTTCACCGATATCGATTCAAGCAAGCCTGACTGCTTATGAGACAATGAATGCCGAAAACCGGTCCAGAGTTTGCTGGCCGTCGAGGGTGGGTGATTTAAAAATATTTGCATTCGTGATTCAACTGCTGTGTCAGAATAGGGTATCGAACCAGCAACCTTAGCATTGCAAGTCCAGTTTGTTCAACAATTACACCCCTACAAATCCCCAACATAAGTATACATTATTTAAATTAATGTTTGGTAAAAAAAAAAGGTACTTTTGAGACCATGAAATCACAAGAACAAAAATTCCTAAACCTACAAATATTTGGTATGGATATGTGAAGGAGACATACTGTCTGCTTATTTATTTATTCTGTTACGACACCAATTAGGTTCACGTAACATTGGTAAGCACTCCTTATGAAAAGCACAATCATCGTTTAAAAGCAGTGGTTCTTAACCTGGCGTGCATGCACCCCCCCCATGGGGGTGCAAGATTCCCTTTCTGGGCGGGGGGATGCGAGACATGGCCAGATTTTTTTAGAAGGTAAATCATCGACACACAACTTAAGCACGGGCCCGTAAGTTACAACTACTTTGTTTCATCAAACCCTGTGTATTTATGAACATTACAAAAAAATACGTTTGAGATCCAAAGGGGTGCAAGTCTGCAGTAAAGGTTAAGAACCACTGCTTTAATGTATCAATCGTGTTCATTTTAAAAGTAAATACAATCCCCCACCTTTGAAGCATTTGCAGAGATCTTCATGGGTGAGGAACGCGGACGTGGGGTGTGTTCAGGAAAGCAATCGGCAAAACCAAACTCTTATAAAAAAAAAAAAACACCCGAGCAATCCATTTTAAACTTAAGATGTCTGTGTGACATTCAGCGTTACACACGGCACACAGCCATATCGCCGAAACAAAAGTTCCTTTAATACCTTCCAATGCAATGGCAAAACACAACGGTTCAATAAAAGCTACACAACTGCGCCCTTAATAACAACTGCATCAACTTGGAAACCATTACAAGGCAACAATTAATGAGGAAATACATTATATGAATACGTGTGCCACATATTGAGGACTATTGTGAGTCATTGGCGACATGCCATACCTGTCAACCCCTTATCAGTGCCTACCCTGCGATAGACCAATTCAGACCTTAAATGTTCACCCATATTGAGACGGCTGTATGCTGTATGGACCTGAAAACTCAAGTTTCCCTGTTCAAGAATACAGGTAAATCGTATGGGTTGACAAGTATGACAGGCATAGGTAGGCAGATGCAGGCCAAGTGGTCGAACGGTATTGCAGAGGTTCACGGTTCGAAAACCAGCTTAGTATGGAGCGGTAGGCCAGGTAGTTTCCACACAGGGTTACACGCTGCTGTCGAAAAGATGCCACTCGACTGATTCGGAATGAGACATCTGCTGTGAAGATGGAGCTAGTCAAAAGCAGACTGCCCAGTTATGGAAACCTCTCCACTCTATCCTCAACTACCCCATCACTCGTGCAGAGCGGAGGTGGTGGGAGGAGAGTATTGATGATATAAAATACCCAGACATGTGCTTTGTTTTTGTGGGTGCTGATGGTCAGGCCCCATCTTTGAGTAGCATGCCTCAGGCTCAGCAGTAGCATCTCCAACTCCTTCTCAGGGTAGGCAGCAATTGCCAGATCAGCATACATAACATGATTGACCAATAGGGAGCCAGACCTACTGCATCTATACCAGATTGAAATTCCACCCGTAAAGTCAAGCCTCTCTCCTCAGCATGTCTGGAGATGTGATGTCGAGGACTAATCCTTGCCGGGAGCTTTCCTGGCAAACTGGAGTGGAAGGGAGATACCCAAGAAGTCGTTTCACTCGGTGCAAGTTCCCCTTTTTTTAAACGGTGCGCACCACACAGCATCCTTCCAATCCTGCGGGAAACCCATCCTGTGGACCAGAAGGTTTTAATGCCGTCACCTAGGGCAGTCTGCACACAGACACTACCCCCTCCCCCCTCAGCAGCTCGCTTGATAAGTCATCTCTGCCCGGAGCTTCACCTCCTCTCAGGCTCTGGACTGCCCCTTCGCGTTTCCTCAAGCGATGGCACACATCCGGCAACTACTCACAGGGCTGCACAAAGGTAAAGATCCCCCGTGTAGCCTAAACAGACTGTAGGGGCAGCAAGTGCTGTTAGTGAGCACCTATGAAGGCCGGAACGGTACACGAGGGGTTGGTTGGCCAGCACCACGTCCGACCGCCTTTGTCTCCCCAATGGCGATGATTACACACCGCACCAGGTACTCATTTGAGGCGGAGTCGACCTAGGGGAGGCCCAGGACCGGTTCAGATAATCGTCACCGGTGTTGGCCGTGAGCGGGAATCGAACTCGGGTCGCCAGGTTCGCAGCGCAGCGTAGCGCTAACCGCTACACCACCGCTCCCCACACAGGGCTGCACACACAGACACACACACAGACAGACACACAGACACGCGCGCGCACGTCCACAAAGGATATTTGCTGTTGTCAGAGTCCTCCGTGACGTTGCGAATGCTCTGCTGCACCCACAGGCGCTGCTGATCCAGCTCCCTCTCGCGTCGCTCCAGATCTTCGAGCTCTTCCTTGATCTCCACGAGCCGATCGGAGATCTCCCGCGTGTTCGCTCCGGGTCCCACCCCCCTTTTAATTGGACGCACAGGCAACCATGGGGACACACGGCACGATAGACGTGTTTGAGCTGTAGTCTCAACACCGTAACATGCAATGTGGATTCGTACCATATCTACATGGGCACTGCAAGTGAAGATGATATATGTGGGCGCCATGGTGGCGACATGTTAAATATCTCTCCTGGTATGCAGGAGGTCGTGGGGTCGATCCCGATCCTGACGCCCGAATGTTTGGAGTTTACATGTTCTCCCCGTGGTCATGTGAATTTTACTCCGGGTCCTCCGGCTTTTTCCTCCACATTTAGAATAAAAATGCATTTAGATTATTTGGCTGCTATATATTTCCCACGTGATAAGCTGCGTCGTTGAGCTATCATTTGTGTACCAGATCGCTTCTGAAAAAGAGCTCAATAGCTCAGTGGGCTATTTTTCTCTGCCTATGGCAGAGTCATAGGCAGAGGAAAAAGAAAAGTATTGAGCATTGACTTGAACAGGAGGCAGGGGAGTCGACAGCACAGACAAATCTAGATATTGGAACAGCATTGGAGAGTTAGTGACATCCCAGCGAGCGATGGAGACTACAAAATAACACTTCGGACGTTGGAGTGGAGAGTGTGTGGAGGATAGTCGAGTGAGATGAGAGGCAATATTGCGAGGCAGAGTGGAGTCCATGGAGCAGTGTTCTGCATTGCAAGGCCCGTGGGCCACTGGCGGCCCCTGGTGGCCTTTAGTGCGGCCCCCGACAATACACAAATGTGAAAACATCTCATCATGCTGTCAAACACCAAATGGTTTCAAATAATGTGCGACGGCCCTCACACTGATGCCTTTTCGGCGAAAGTGGGCCCCCCTCTCAAAATTAGTGAAGAACCCTGCCATGGAGGATCTTCAAGGTGGCGAGTGTGATCTTCACACTTTCCTTCGATCATGAGTCAACAAGAACGAGAAAGCACTTCCAATCAACCTTGGAAGATTAAACACGAGCCACGGCACGATCGATCGTAACGACGACTAAGGTTGCCGTGGAACTGACGTGCAATAAACCTTAGGTATTTAACTTGCATGCATATGCCAAACTCAATTGCAATGCATGCAATATAATCGGATCTAGGAAGGTAAGCAGGGCTGACCCCAGATAGTGCCTGGAAGGGCGACCACCACGCACGAGCCAGTTGTTACAGGCCTGCACGGTCAACTTGTTTTCTGACGGGAGCACGTCCGACACTGCCCGCTTTCAACTCCCAATTTATATCGAGGTTCACCCAGCGCCAATCGAGCTCCAAAATAGAGCCTCTCTACCCCACGTCAAGTGTCGAGGATAGACATTGCGTGTCGTTATAGCAGACCCAATTGCTCAAGTTTATAAACGCTGCTCTTCGACAACAATAACACGGTCGGCTACGTATGGTGCGAAATAAATTCAACATACATATATTATGGATACATATATTGATTGTTTAATACCATCATCCATCTCTCACCGACGTTGGCTTTGTACGAATCAGGCTATAATGTGTGAACACCAAATGTGCCCTTACACAAAATGTGATATTAATAAATAGGCACTTTTTTGAGTTAACACACGAAGAGAGAAGTAAATAGACTGTGCACTCTGCAGTAAAAGTGTACCAAACAAAGCCTCACTTTTACGTACTCACAAAAAGTTCAATGCCCACACCTGGGCAACAACTGTCGGATAACAGCGGTTGTAAAAAAAAATGATAAGAGCACTGGGAACACTGGGGAGCCAAATGGAGCGAGAGTAAACTTTTACACACCACAACGCCGCCGCGTGTGTGTTTAATGTCCTAGGGTTCTGTCTTGAAACCCCAACACCGCAAAGTCAACAAACCACAAGCAAGGTAGACCACAAATAAGCGCCTACGGGCAAAGTTCACGCGCTTGTGTGATACATCCAAGACCCATGCCGACATATTCATCAAACCGTTTTCCTTCCTGCGATAAATGCTGTCAGCGTGCAGGACAAAGCATTGCACTGGATATGGTTTTCCGAAACTAGACAAAAGGATAAAAAAACGAGAAACAGGATTTCCAAATCTTGCCACCATCTTTCCAGTTGCTACCCATTGGGGTAAGTTTTATGATTGCTATAAAATGGGAGGCAAGGCACACTTAGAATGTGCCACCGGTGTGCAAGATGTTAACTCCCTCGTCTGGTATGTAGGAGGTCGTGGGTTCGATCCTGACCCTGATGCCTGTATGTTTGGAGTTTGCATGTTCTCCCTGTGGTCGTGTGGATTTTTCTCCGGGTCCTCCGGTTTTTCCCTCCACATTTAGAATCGGCATTCGTTTCCAGTATTTGGCTGCTTTAAATTTCCACGTGGTAAGCCGCTTCGTTGAGCTACCATTTTGTGGCAACATTTTGGCATCGTTCATTATTCTGAAGATTAAAAATAAACCACACATGGCTTCTCCCAACACTCCTAACCATCATAGAGTACTTTAAATAATTATTTCTAGGAGCAAGAACTTTATCAACATTTAATGACTTTTAAACGGTGTACAATATGCATCAATTCCCTCCAACCTTGACGATTAAGGTGTGCTTTGGCTGGCTGCCTGCATCATGAGTTTACAGCGTGTACACTTGCTAATGCGCTGATACTGTCCAATGATCCCTTAGTAACCAATATGCATCCTCTATCAGTCATTACACACTGGCAATGTCTCTCACATCCAGTAGGGAGTGAACTGAAGACATGATTGCAAGGTTCTGAGCACGATGCCAGAGACAGCTCAAAGGAGGCTGCACAACTGTTTTGGTCGTAGTAAAATGATCCGGAGCAATTTTACAGTCCAATGCATTTAATTGGGAGCAACTAAAAGATTGTAATTGCTCCAAAAATAAATATATGGTTCTTGGAAGTTTGGTCAAACTTTCTAAAAGGGTCATTGGAATTGTTTGCTGCGAAAATTAATCTTTCCATGATACAATGCGATGTTCCATTTTACGATTGTGATGATTATCGTGATGTCAGTTTCCTTTAACTTTGTAATTTTATCTCCAAATGTTCTCACTTTGCTCAAGTGCGTTGATGTACTTAGAGTACGAACAAAGACTGCTAATAAGTATAACCCGTAAAAACAAAGTTTTTCACTCTAAATCCTTTATATGCGTGGCGGCTAGAGTCCTCTCGTCCTCTGGCTTGAGATGGCTGCCACCTATGGGTCAGATGATTGTCTGCCAGTATTAAGCAATTGGTAATTAAATATTTAATTTGTTTTCCCTAAACAGTGTAAAATTTTGGAAAAAAATTTTCACGAACATTAATTGTCTCGCACAATGAGTCTGTGCAAAATGTCAGCTCGATTGGATCACGGGAAGTGGGTTAAAAACGACCGAAAGATTTGCACGGTCGTAAGCAAGCAAGCAAGCACGCAAGCAAGCGAACTTAATATAAAGGATTTAAAAAGTACCTCAACTGCAATTGCCTTAAAGGCCTGCAAATTATTTTTGTTACTTTACAAGCCATAACACTTACAAATGAAATGACATCATATAATCGCCATGCCAGCCATTCCCCTTGAATTAAAATAGTGAACTTTAATTTTGGTTATTTTCAGAAACGAAATAGGTTCAAAACTATATTAAAGAATGATAACAATCACTTAATGACAACTTTTTTTTTTAAACAGACAACACAATAATCTGTCTCTTGAGACACAGACATTTTCAGTCGCAGGCAGGAGAGAGAGAGAGAGAGAGTCAAACCTAAGCCTGGGCTAGAGAAGGAGAGAGAGTAAGTTAAGGTGGCCAGAGGGAGGACATTCCAGACCGTGGGATCAACAGCAGAAAATGAGTGACGAACCCACTGAACAGTGATTTGACTTGGGGCTTTGACGAAAGGGTATTTGGTTGCTGGAGTTGAGGGCACGTGGTGAAGACAAATGCGAGTTGAGAGAGGAGTGTTATGCGGGGGCGGCGAGTCTATTGAGGATTAATGCAATAAAAAGTTCATGTTTACACGTGTGGAGAGAACACACGACCGTGCTCATATCAAGCAGACGCATAATATCGATGTGATATATATAGCAACATTCACTGACGTAAAAAAAATGTGAGCCTTATCGGCTGTCAAGAGAAATGCTGTCAGACGAAATAAACGCATGCCAACTGGATTCCTCTGTAGACTGTTCATTCCCACACCTCCGATTAACACGGCTGGCTACGTACGGTGCGAAAGAAGCTCAACATATGCACATACATTCGGTTTACATTGTGTTTAGCATACACAATTAATGTTTTTTTACTCAAAAAAAACATCTCATATTTTAACTTTTTCCTCGACAATTACAGCTCTGGACAAGTCGCTTCATCAACGCGTCAGCATACGCAAGCCAACATTCCACGACGGCGATGCTTTCACAGAGCGGTCCACCGTGTGTGTGCGCGCATGTGTGCGCGCGTGTGCTCGTGTGTGTGCGCGCATGTGTGCGCGCGTGTGCTCGTGTGTGTGCGCGCGTGTGTGCGTGTGTGCGCGCGTGTGCTCATGTGTGTGCGCATGTGTCTGTGTGCACCTGCCACAGCCGCCACGGCGCTGGCTCGAGAGGACGGCTCGTCGTTTAAAATCGGCGGTCGCCTCAAACGCTCGAGGCAACGGCTACGCGGCTTCACCTGCAAACGCACGCCTGGCACCTGCGCAGCCACTTGCACACTCAACAGACGACGGGGGAAACGGACTGCGCGAATGTGAGGGGCCCTTCAATGACAAGAGTGCTTTTTAAAACGTAAAAGGGCGCAATCCTTGCGCGTGCCATTCGTGCCATTGCTGGCAGAAGAGCCTCCATTTGAGGGAGCACCGGAGAACCCGTAGAGAGTATTTTGCACGTAGCCTGGCATAAGCGCCGTGGTGACTCCACCGCCACTTGGTGGCGAATGGCGGATTGTTGCTGCAGTTGTTGATGAGCCTGGGGCAAAGCTCATCTCCAACAGCAGAAATTCTACATTCCTATGGCAGGGGGCAATTTATCCACAAGACTACCATTGATGTGCCAGGGTACAAGAGATGATCCAGCATCCTTTATGCCCTACCTAAGATGGCAGACCGCTGGTACACGTGCTTGAAAAATGTACATCCATCAGCAAGGTCAGCTCTCATTGGTTGTCTGCATCCTGAATTGTGAATGGCTGCAGCTCACACCAGTAGGTTGTATCGACTGAAACCGGTTATGCCTGTCTGGTGCCGAGTTGACCAAGTGTAATTGCTCAAATAGAGCCACTTTAACATTAATATTTAAATTATGGAGTAACTTCGTGATTTCGTTGACGCTTGCTTTTTTTTTGCCAAGTATACAATTCACCATCAAAATGAATTATAAATAATGCTTAAATTATTTCTTATTTTTTGTAATTTCACATTGTCAAAAAAGTAACTAGCACACGGATACATTTTCACTACAAAAACCCACAATACAACATTGTGATTACTGCAATGCTAGAAAAAAAGACTAAGCTATACATTTTACGCATCAGTTAGTCGCGTACAATAAATTGTTAAACGTGCTACGAAAAAATGCCGCTTGATTTAAGATCAATTGTGGATGCAGGGCGTTCAACGCCTTTGTGATTCTGACATCGCCACTCCCTCTCCCTCAGTTGAAGACAGACCACCCCCCACATCCCCCGCTCTCCCCCCCCCCACATCCCCCGCTCTCCCCCCACCACATCCCCCGCTCTCCCCCCACCACATCCCCCCCCACATCGCCTGCTCTCCCCCCCCCCCCGCACATCCCCGACTCTCCCCCCCCACATCCCCCGCTCTCCCCCCCACATAATAATAGCTTTTGATTTGGTCAAAAGCCATTATTACCGTATTTAAGACCTAAAATGACCTGATCAAGCTGGTTGTAATCACCAGCGAAAAGGTCACGGTACTCGAATTGTAAATGTTTAGGGTTTACTCCCCAACACGCCAGTATGCTGTAGTAACCAAATTGCCGCGTTTTGTTTTACGTGACAACCTTACTAATTGTCGGGTGGCGGCGGGTTAACGAAACATTTATATCAACGTGACGTAAGTCAACTTAAAAAGCCTTTATCGTTGACAATTATTACATGTTTTATTCATACAGGTAGGAACAACAAGTTCCACACTGCCCACCAGGGATTATTTGTCTGTCTGTGTCGTGCATATTTGTCTGTCGTGCACGAATGCGCTGTCCAACCAAGTTCCTACTTGCCCACTCCGAAGGAACGTGTTTAAACATAAATGTAGGTAAAGGAAGAGCTATCGAAGTCTCACTTCCACTGGATGCTGTTCTTGGACTTCTTCTCAATGAGGCCGATGCCCTCCAGCACGTTGGTGATGTCGTATATTCGCCGTTTCTGTCGTACGGCAAGGGTATCTGCTGCCTGTAAACACAGTGGACATTCATAGCCTGGTGTAAGGCACAAAGTGGTCTGTTCGTAAGCAAACGCGCACACACACACATTTGCGTTGACACATACACACCAGAATGCCTCTTATACTCGTTGTGCCAGAGCCAATACAGATTAAAAAATAAAGCGTTTATCCTTCAGCCGTGTGGCAAGAAAATCTGCTGCCTGCAATCAAAGTGGATATTGAGTTTGGTGTAAGAGACAAGTGGTCTATGTGTTAGCAAAAAGGCCCCCACATATTTCAGGATACACATACATAACACACAATACAAAACACACCATGTCATCCAGCCAACACAGAATGATTATTTTTTTAATTGATGAACATTTGCCCTCGAGCATTAGGATCTTCTTGTCTTATAATGTTCACGTAGGCCCCATTTGCCCATGAAACCTACAACAAGGATGAATGCGTCACCCAACACTTATGTTGTGCATCTCATACCATACGATCTTACAAATGTCTCCCCTTGATATAATTACTCTACACATTAACATTTAAAATTTGCAAGAGTGCACCGACTGCTATAGAATCAGCCTCAACCCACCACCATCCCTCCCCAAAAAGGTAATAACCTGTCTAACTTGGCTGTACGATTTGATTTAAAATATATATTTTGTCCTTTTAGCATCTTATTTGGACTGCATCTTGTTCATGTTATGTAATAATTTGTTCCGGCTCGTAGATTCCATCCGCTTGAACGGTAAAGGTTCAGCCCTGTATTTTTTTTAAATCTCAAACTGATGTTAGGGAGCTCAGAGGTGAGACCCTAAGGCGCTGGTCAGAACCTGTGAGCAGTGAGAGTTTAAAAGGGGGGTGCTAGAGGTGAGGAGACTTGCAGGAACACGAGGAGAGAAATATGCAGAGAACACAGCAGTGGACGACACATCAGCTGCGGGGCAAAGATAAATGACTGCAGGCTTCTGTAATGATTACACACTAAGCTGTAGATGCTCACTCACGCTGTACTAGTCAGCGCATATAATTGCACATTTCCAAGAGCAGTAATAGCAATCATTAGAGTGGTCACAGCTGCATTGTTTCAATTATCCACCACATCATAATTTCAGTGAATCTATCTGGCGAGTGTCAAAAAGCAATGAAGCGACGTGTGCAATACTGTGCCCGGGGAGATGCGGTTTGTAGCCCAGTGGTTAACATACTGCGCCATGAACCCAGCGATCTGAGGTTCAATTCCCGATATCAGAAGCGGCAGTGGGCTTTCCATCTTCACCAACTCTGCAGTGAACAGCATAATTGAACAATCTGTTTTGCATTTACGTTGTTCTTTTTGTTTTGCTGTGGTTTTCATATAAGCCCTCTTGGGTTTCCAACCTCACCTGCACATCTTTTAACTTGTTTTTATTTGCACTATTTGCCTTTCACTTGTTTTTTTTTGCGCGAATAGAGAATAATAATACTGGTGAAGTGTGGGGCACCACTCATCTGTGTTTTATTAGCATCCTCTACACGTTTTCCGTGCAGCTATAGAACTACGTATACCTTGTAACCTGGATAACTTGGAAAACACATTCCTGTGGAGGGAGCTGGTAGGAACGTTGGGTTGCTCGGTCAATGGGCAGGTCAACGGCGGCGTGGTTTATTCCGCAAATATGTCCGACTGTGAGGGCGGGCACAAGCCGGCGTGAGTAGGTTAAACGTTGAGTTTTATAAGGGCACCACGGGGTGACCATCCCCTCCACACCCAGCCCCTCCCCACCCTCCCCTCCCAGCCCCTCCCTGCACGACGGACGGACACAACAATCCCCTGTGGGCTGGTGTAACCAGGAGGGGTCTACCAGTATAACACTGTTTTGCACTGAATGGGCTCTATGGTGTAGGTCAGGGGTCAGCAACCAAAATAACAAGAAGAGCCATTTCTTTCCAATTCGGTACAAAATTCAGTATTTCAAGAGCCGCAATGCATCTGAGTACATACTGTACATACGTACATATCGTCAAGAAGCAGCCCGTAAAGAGCCGCATGCGGCTCCGGAGCCGTAGGTTGCCGACCCCTGGTGTAGGTGGATGGCTCTTGCCAATAGCATCTGGCAACATAATAACCACAAGCTTGACTCCGCAGATGATACTAAGAAAGTCAAATACTGGTCCTGGTTTTTCCCGCTTCAGATGATCCTGTAAATAATAGTCCAGAAGTACCCACAGACTGTAGGATTCAAAAACATATATTTTTCATGTGGAGATAGACTCATCTCACCATCAGCCATGGTCAATCCACAGCTGGATGAAGGCCTCAAGCTGCCGCTGACCTTTGTCTGTTTATTAATTAACGTTGTTCACGGTTCCTCTGTGACAGCGCACGAGTTCCTTGCGTTGTGGAGATGGGCTATAGCAAGTAGCTGTGATTAATGCGCATTTGTGAAGCGGCAGAGGTTTCATGACGCCCACAGCCCTGGGGCCACGCGTGCAACATACGCGCGTCCGCAGAGCCGTTTCACAATTTGCGTCCTATAAATTACACAGCCGTGAATTATGCACTGCTGCAAAACACTGCAGTGCTGGACCACTGCACCATTAACAAAATAAGTAATATTAAAAAGAATTTTTTTTTAAACACGCTTTTATGAAATGTACCGTACTTGTAATGGAAGAACTCCACGACTCCAAGAAGTGGGCCCGAAGCTTGCCATAACATAAGGGGCCGTGGTCATTTACAGCCAACGTGAGTTTACCGTGGACAATTAGAGCCAAGCCGAAACATAACATATACAAAATAATGTTTTAGAATGTTTTTAATGATAGAATGTTGTCATCAGTATGACATAAGTATACCACGTTTGCAGTCGATATCACATTGGGAAGTGGGTTAAAATTGAGTTACAATATTTGAGGATACGACAACAACAGACAGAGTGAGTTAAATAAAAGCGGTGTAATAAAAAAATATTTGCATCGCCACACAACGTTGCTCACGAATGTATTCAGCAGGGTCAAGATGTGATGTACGTTGCTGACAGAGGCGTTCAGCTGCGGGCCAACGGTGAACAAGAGGAATCTGCGAATCGAATTGCTGAACATTTTAAAAGACAAAAGCAACAATCACAAACATTGTTACCCTTCGTATCAAGCAAAGGAGAGGAATTAAGTGATGTTAGCATTTTAATTTGATTTTTTCCCCTCAGTGTAGATACTAAACATTAGCACTGAAGCAATTCATCGTTTATAAATACATATAAAACTTCGATAATTGGTTAATCGGCAGGCATGACATCAGCAAAGCTATTGCCTGTCCAGTTTAGAACACAACATTCGCATTATACGCTATCAAGTAAAACTCTGCCAATCTCAATACGCAATGACCTGGTAAAACTGTGCAGTGGCCACTTGTTGTGACATTAACATAGAATCTCAGCACCTTCAGTGAACTCCGAGCATGCTCATTCCCTTATTACAAGCATTGCTATTTAGATTTTTTTTTTTAAGGTAAAGGGACAGCCCTGAAATTTATTGCTCACGTCACTGCTGGCAGAGGGACGGCCTCTGCGAAGGAGAACTCTATAGAGCCCCTGTAAAGGAACATTGGTCTACTTCTTCATGCTGGCCAGAAATCTTGAAGAGATTTTTTTTAACAAGTTAAATTATCGGCTTACACATCTATTTCAACGACTCTTTAACAGCAATATATATCTCAAAGCAGAAAAAAACACATTAATAACCGTATTGCTTTTTGTGTTGTATGACGTCCAGCACTTGAAATTGAGTCCTCCGGCCAGTGAGCCTAACTTTGCTGATGAAACCCTCAAAAGGTATAAACCGGTCCAGGGTTAGTTTGCTTAAACACCTGCAGCTTGACAATATTGGCCTTAAAAAAACAATAGGCGGATTGACAAGGACAAAAAAAACTAGTTTTATTAATAGTTGGACGCACAGGATGGTTAATAGTTGGACGCACAGGGTGGCTATTCTGCTTCATATTTTATTATATTTTTTTAAAATGCAGTGTCACCTGTGCAAGTCAACAGCATCTGTCCTCGATCTCACCATAATAATGTGGAATTTCCAAAGGACCCAGGGCTGTGACCAGACTAGTAGCGTCTTCACGCTCACTGGATCGGGGTGAACAAAGTACTGACATTTACACATGAACCTCAAGATCAATGTTTAATACTGTACTGTCAAATAACTCGTTTGTGGCGATATTCCTTAAGGACCCAGTACTCGTTCTCTGGCATATTTACGCTTTTGTTGCTGTTCAGAATCGGAAAATGTGTTTAGACTGGAAGAATCCGATGAACTATGAAGCTCTTTTTCACTCATGTCCAGTAGGGGCGGGTCAAAAAGTTACCACAATAAACAAAACAAAAACACGATAGGAGTACAAAGTAAATGAAAGCTCAGCTAAGTCACGAAATAGAAAACAAAAAGTATATATAAGTACATCAATTCCTGGCGATTTTCAACCAAAAATGCGGTGTTGCTTCACTCGGCACCACGGATTTCCCTTGTAAAAAATATTGGGGAAACTGCCTGCATATTTGGAGTTTGCGTGTTTCTCTCTCTCCGTGGTCGCGTGGATTTTTTTCTCCACGTGCTCCATTTAGAAACACGCATTGAGATTATTTAGATCAATTTGCTGCTACAAATATCCAAATGACGGGGACCACTTTGTTGAGCTTATAATTCGTGGTTGCCAGGTCGCTTCTGAAAAATAAATTAATACCGAAGTGGGCTTTGCTTGGTAGGATGGTGTAGCTTTAGTTTAATTTCTATGTGTTTGGGTGATTTGGTTACCTTTCTTGTACTCTGCACTCATATCGAGTTTGTTTGTATATTGTTTGTCGTTGTAACGTTCTTACCCCGTGCCAACTAGTGGATATCTGTGAAAAAAACTTATAGCTAATCGGATTCCTCCTGCAGTATGAATATCCCGATTTTTGTAAAAATTATAATTCCGCGTCTTAATTGCAAACCTCCATTCTTTCAGCCACAAAAAATTCCAATAATTTGGTAATTGTGTATTAGTGTCTTTAATTCATGTGCAAAACACAGAGAGCCCTGCAAGGGGCGTGAGGATATTTAAAAAAAAAACCTCCGATCTGGTAACAAGCGAGGCGCTGCAGTTAAATCCCCATTGAAGCTCGCTCATGATGAAGTCAACACGAGGGGCCACGATACACAAATGAATCTCTCTCCAGCCTCTACCCCCAGCATGAATTCCTCCCCGCCACCACCACCACCCCGTTAATTTAACCACGGCCGCAATCCTCGTTTGACATTAGTATGAGAGAGACACAGAGAGGTGACTGCGATCAATTTGAACAATGGGAGTGTAAGTAAGCGTCGTTGCGCTATCACGAGAGCACGTGGAACCTTAACACGAGTCCCAGCTGCTACTACAACAACAACGTAACTAAGGGCTTCCTCGTGTTTTACGTCTCCGCCGGGTTTAAACCTCACCACCTCCCCCTGTATCGATAACCCACTGCACTCAAATCGGCGACTTCGGCTGTCATTCGGCAGCGAACGATGTTGACAATGGTGGCGAGGCGATCCTCACGCCAAGACAACCACCCACCCATCCCTTGTTGTATCCTCACCACGGCCACGGATCGATCCCTTCATATAACACAACCAATTTAATATTTGATTGTTTGACAAAGTCCACAACAGGCATTGATTGCGCGGCCTACTACCGGCGAAACGAAACAAAGACAAAGCTCCCCCGTGTAGCCTTCACAGACTGTTGGGGCAAGTGCTGTTAGTGAGTAGCAGCACCTAACGAAGGCTGGAACGGTTACACGAGGGGGTGGCAGTACCACGCCCGACCGCCTTTGTCTCCCCAGTGTCCACACACACAAAACAACATCCAGAGCACGCGATAATTATCGATACGTTCGAAAAGCAAAATGACCGGAAACGTATCGCGTTGCAACGTGGGTTTTGAGGGGATGGCGAGCGAGCGTTTGGTTAATATCGATTCGCCTTACTCACCTCACCACCACAGCGAGATTCTAACCAAAATCCTCGCATAAGCGGCGACTGTAGCGGCGGTCATTTGCGAGTGTTCAAATCCGCCACACAACAACAACAACCAACAACAACAACCACAACAACCGAGCAGTGTATTGCGAGGAGCGCCCCACCACTTTGAGGTCGAGCACTCCGTCCGGCGCCTCTTGCAGCAGCGACACGAACTTGGCGGTGAGCAGTCCCAGGCTCTTCTCGTGCCGGCTCGGCGTGGCCGGAGTCGCGTCCGTCGCTGCCGACGCCATCGCGATCCTCGTTGAGTGTGATGGGAGGAGGGAGGAGGGGGGGGGCAGCCGTTAGCGCGCGGGGCATCACGGGAGCGAGCTCGCCCATTCAAAACTTGCCCCGCGTGGAGGTGATGACGACCCCTCTCGCTTTGCCCCCCTCCCCTTACTCCCACGTGGTGGACTCCCACTCTCCCGTGGTGGACACCCCCCTTACTCCCACGTGGTGGACACACGCCCCTCTCCCACGTGGTGGACCCCCCCCCTCTCCCACGTGGTGGACTCCCCCCTCTCCCACGTGGTGGACTCCCCCCTCCCACGTGGTGGACCCCCCCTCACGTGGTGGACCCCCCCCCCTCTCCCACGTGGTGGACTCCCCCCTCCCACGTGGTGGACTCCCCCTCTCCCACGTGGTGGACTCCCCCCCCCTCCCACGTGGTGGACACGCCCCCCCATCTCCCACGTGGTGGACCCCCCCCTTCCACGTGGTGGACCCCCCTCTCCCACGTGGTGGACCCCCCCCCTCTCCCACGTGGTGGACCCCCCCCTCTCCCACGTGGTGGACTCCCCCCTCTCCCACGTGGTGGACCCCCCCTCCCACGTGGTGGACACGACCCCCCCCCTCACCCCCAATCATCATCGTGCTGCTGTCACCCCCCCCCCCCCGCCCCAATGGTTTCAAATAGTGAGTGTCGGCCCTCACTGATGATGTCGTAATAGGTTTTTACCCTGATTGTTTTTTTTACCCTTCTATCTGGCAACAAAACTGACACTTTTTTTTTTTTACAAGGAGTCATGTTTGCATAGACCACAATACCTGCAGTCATAATGTAAACAAAAAACATAACTCTGATCATGTATGCACTGTCCTTGAAGTTGATTGGTCCACACCTGAGACTAGGCTCTAAGGAAAGCTGTCTCGGGTGTGGACCAATCAACTTCAAGGACAGTGCATACATTATCAGAGTTATGTTTTTTGTTTGCATTATGACTGCAGGTATTGTGGTTTATGCAAACATGACTCCTTGTAAAAAAAAAGGTGTCAGTTTTGTTGCCAGATAGAAGGGTAAAAAACCAATTATCATATTTTTTACTGGCAAATGAGGTTCCAATGATGTTTTTACCCTTTCAACTGGTACAAAAACTGACACCTTTATACAAGGCATCATGTTTGCAATAACCACAACACAAGCAGTCAAAATGCAAACAAAAAGAAACAACTCTGATAATGATAATGATATGCACTGTCCTTGAAGTTGATTGGTCCACACCAGAGACAGCTTTCTTTAGAGCCTAGTCTCCATTGGTGTTGGACCAGATGACGCCAAAAGGCGTACAACTCTCTCTCTGGTGTGGACCCATCAACTTCGAGGACTAGTGCATATCATATCATTATCAGAGTTGTTTCTTTTTGTTTGCATTTGACTGCTTGTGTTGTGGTTATTGCAAACATGATGCCTTGTATCAAGGTGTCAGTTTTGTACCAGTTGAAAGGGTAAAAACCTATTACTATATTTTCCCACTGGTAAAGGAGATGTCTCATAGTCTGATGATGTCCTATCGGCGAAAGTGACCCCCACACCCCTCGGAAAATTAGCAAAGGATGCTGATATAGGAGGTGGCGATACAGCCCAGCCACCGCATGCCTAAGCAACTTTTGTTCGGCCGGATCGAGGGGGCTAAACGGGCGCGGCACGGGCTAGAGAAGAGATGGAGTGATGTGGCACAGGAGGACGTGGAGCTGAGTGGACTTACCAATGACTGGTACCAGCGGTGTCAAGATCGGCCTCTGTGGAGGAGGCTCGTGAAGGACGCTACTGGGCAGTTGGAGGCAGTCGCCCTCCAACAACAACGGAGGGCGGAGGAGCGATGTTCACAACAACGAGCGGAGCGCCGGGTGGCTAAAGCACAGCAAGTTGGCACAGTAGGGGGCACAGGTGGTGCATCAGCCAGTCATCTCGGTCATCCCAGTCAGTCCACCCGTGGCACCTGGGTCTGCCGGTGACCTCCTGCCAGCGGGTGTTCGACACTTCACATGGCCTCTAGGTGCACATGGCCTGGCACAAGCGTCGTGGTGACGTCACCGCCACTTAGTGGCGAATGGCGGTTGTTGTTGTTGATACAGCAGCAGTGAGACAAATGCCACTCCACCTGCGCCTGAACATTCCTGAGAAGTATTTTCACGAACGTGCCATCTTATTTGTATGCGGGCAGACATTGTTTGTGCCTCTTTAAAAAATAAATATGTGCGTCAATAGGCTAAATTTCTGGGCAACAACCCCTAATCGACACCACGCTTAATATCACTCCATATTTTCCGGAATGCCGCTAGGCTTGGCTTGGAGTATGGACTGTTGGCATAAGGCACTACCACTAGATTTGTAACATACGCCCGTCCTTACGTTGAACTTCCTTCTCACCGTACGTTGCCAAACGTGCTAATCGGAGGTCGCGGGTACATAATTCGATATTATTCCTGCAAATCCTAAGATAGCAGCAAAATAAGGCAGGATGGATGTGACGTGCCGATATAATTGTGCTGCTAACAGCGTTCGGGCGCTGTTCCGGCTGAAACGAATCGCACTGCTGGAGGAATTGTACAGAGCCGGCGGCGTGCCTAGTACACAAACTTGGCATGCGATGCCCTCACATGCCCACACGCTCTTACCCTCCACGTTTAGAATCAACGCCACGCGTTTTAGAGTATTTTGGCCGCTATCATTTTCTTTTCCACACAATGATGATAAGCCACTTCTCATTGAGCTATCATTCATTGCCACCAGGTCGCTTCTGAAAACAGAAGCTAATAAATAGCTCAAGTGGGCTTTACCCGGTAAGATAAAATCACAAACAAGTTATTTGTTTACTTAATACGTATCACTACTGTCGTGTTTATGTATCGTTTGTTGTTGGAGCATTCTCACCCCGTGCCCCTACTGAACATCTGTGAAAAAAATAGCTTTATAGGTCATCGGATTCCTCCAGTATAAATACAATTTTGTTTCTGGACATCTGTGCAAAAATAACTTATAGCTCATAGGTTTCCTCCAGTATAAAAAACGTATTCTGATTCTTGACATCTGTGAAAAAGAGCTTTTTGCTCATCGGATTGCTCCAGTATAAAAACAATTCTGTTTCTGGACATCTGTGCAAAAAAATAACTTATAGCTCATAGGTTTCCTCCAGTATAAAAAAACGTATTCTGATTCTTGACATCTGTAGAAAAAAATAGCTTTTTGCTCATCGTATTGCTCCGGTAACAAACACGTATTCTGATGATTCTCATGCGAGGGGGGGGTATCGCATGGGCGATCACGCGTCTCGCGGGGAGGTGGGAGTCGTTGTCACTGGTGAGAGAACGGGTCGAGTGCACTCATCTTGTTGACAATGGCACTTTTTTTTTACGAGGGTGGTGGCCAGCGGCAAAGGGAGAGGGGGGTAGGGGAAGGGAGCCTTGCCTCCTCTACTGCAGCCTTGCAATAAAGTTGGTTCTCAATGGCAAAAAAAATGTGAATAAATACGTTGGGATTTGATGAAACAAAGTTGCTTTCGTGCCCCTGCTGAAGTTGTGTTTCGCACCCGCCAGAAAGGGCATCTCGCACCCCCAGGGAGATGCTTGCATCCCGGGGAAACAAACCGCTGCCTCTAGATTTGAAGCTTTCGTGACTGCAAAGATTCATACTCTTAGGTTTTTTCGGTAAAGCCACGAAGGTAAAAAATAAAAATGAATAATAAAAACAATAGAAATAATTATATTATTTTATTTCCATCATTATTTCTATTATTTTTATTATTTTTTTTTAGTTTTTTCCTACGTGACTTTATCGAAAAAACCTAAGAGTATAAACCTCTGCCTCCAAAGCAATGCTTTGAGAAGCCTGCGGCCACTTTGAAGCTTCCATCTGCGATGATCGGAAGCCCGAGTAGAGAGCTCCAACACCACGAGCCATTGCACCCCCCCCCCTCCTCCCCCATCCAGCCACACACGCTTTCTATATTTACCGCTGCCTTGACAGTGGAGGCGTACTGGGTGATGGTGGTGGTGGGGGGGGGGGCATCTGCACATTGCCGGCCCTGGACAAAATGTCCAGTCTATCCCAGGATGTTCACACGAGAGAACACGCGGACAAAATATGGGATCGGTTTTCCACGTAAACTCTCTTTGGCCACGTGTGCCCGAAATGCACCAAATCACGTGAGCTCTGTCCATCTGTCTGTAGCAGGGGCTCACGATAACTCGCATACTACTTGATACAGTTTTGGTATGAAGTTGTGTTGCCGTTTGGAACCGACCATGCCCAAGCCTGCTTACTTATTATTTAAAGCAGTGAATCTTAATCTGGGGGTTCGAGATGTCCTTTCTGGGGGGTGCGAGACGTGGCCAGATGTTTTTTAGAAGGTAAATAATCGAAAACATGAAAAAATTAAGCACGGGCACATATAAGCACAACTTACTTTGACTTAAAGCTTTCGTGACTGCAGGAATTTATTTTGTTTCATCAAACCCCTATGCATTTATTATTATGATAATTTTTTGTACGATTGAGAACCAAAGGGTTGCATGCTGCAATAAATGTGAAGAACCACTGATCATTAATACGTACCTAACTTACATACCTCCGAGTAGCGCTGTTGGCTACGTACGGTGCGAAAGAAGTCCAACATACATACATTCTCTGATCCATGTATTCCCCTTTTTGCCTCTCATTGCAAGGACGCATCTTTCGAGATTTTATTGTTATTTTATACAGATGCTCAGATATGCGACCTTTTCATATCACCGCCCGTACCTCCATCCCCAGCGATGTTAACTACCTCGCCTGGTATACAAGGAGGTCGTGGGTTAGATTACTTGCTGTATGTAATGAAGCGTAATTAATTTCCCAATCACCCCTTTATGTATAATACGTCTTCCCCAGAAGCTAGTGACTTGAGATTCAAGTCAGCGGCGAGATTCGATCCTGACCCTGACGACCCCTGCTGCTGTATATTTGGAGTTTGTGGCGTCTCTCTCTCTCTCATCATCATCACGGTGGCT